ATCTTGCACAGCTGTGCACTACAGCTCCAGAAGAGGGCTGTCGCACTCATGGGAACCTGGAATTTGACTGGCTCTGACATATTCAGCATCCCATGCTGTGCGGCAAGATCTATGAGAGACTGTGTGCAGGTGTTCCAGCTGTCACCTGTGCACCTCTCTCCCCCCTTCCTCCGATTCACGGCCCGGCTCATACAGCATGAGAAACCCTCCCTGCTAAATGAATTCATCCGCCTTCATTACGCCCCACGTTCTGAGGTAATTGGGAGTGTGCGGTACATTGATGAATGATTACAGAGGAGTGGGTGCATATTCATTATTGGGATAAAATGTTCTTATGGCCCCATAACGAGCCTCCAGCAGTGGCCCGGGCCCTGCTATTACAGAATCCATGATTCAATACAGCTAAAAGGCTCTGCAGGACACCTATGTAGCAATAAGGACCTGTGTTGGGCCAATGATCGCTTGTAAGAAGATGCAAGCAAGAATATAAGTACAGAACTGTGAAATAGGGAATTTGGAAAAGTAGATTTGCTATTAGTCTCTCAGTCTCTCTGGGCTGAACAGCTGTGGCTGGCTCCCTCCTGACTAATTTTCCCTCGCTATATGTCTTACTTGATGTGCCTGGCTGATAATGTCCCATATGTCCTTTGATAAATTTGGTCATTTGAAAATTTTAAGGATGGGGGATGTGTAGGCTTTGCAATGGACCATAATGACTCCAGACACACCTATCCATCCAATAATGTTTCTCTGCAGCTCAATCAATGGTCCTGTTTACACCTGGTATTAAGATTGTAGAGAATTATGAAATCACAAGATAAAGTGCAAAATTAAGGGAAGAAAATTAGCATTTTTATTTAAATTACATTTGGCTATTTTAAGGGACATTGTTTTATTTTCTGAAGCAAGGCTGTTCATGTATTTAAAAGCCCCCTCATTTAGGTCTAAATTATGGCTTTGAAATATAATAATACAAATTTTATCCTCAGAAAAAGACAAAAAACAAAACAAAACATTTATATGTGTGTGTGTGATAAGTTGCAAAATATGTACAAAAAGTTTGGGGTTGGTGAGTTTTTTTAATGTTTCATAAAGAAGTCTCTTATGCTCACCAAATCTGTAATTATTTGATCAAAAAACAGTACTGTTTTCTATTTTAAAATCTATCTATTCTAATTTTCATATTATTATGTTGAAAACAGTTGTGATGCTTATAATGTTTTGTAACATTTTAAGTCTTTACTGTCACTCCTGATCGATTTATTGCATCCTTATTAAAATCATACTGACCCCAAAGTTGAACGTTAGCATATGGTTAATTACAGTTAGGTCAAATTAATTGCAGAAAACTACAATATATTAACTGATTCTGAAATTGAGTTGTATTGTATGATGAGCTTCGGACACAAATGCTTCACATGATCCATGTCATGTTGGTCCATGTTGAAGTACTGAAGAAAATTCTCTGCATGTAAATGAATCATCGTCTTGGACCCTATTTATAAGTTGTTATATATATAATATATATATTTAGAGTTGTTTTATCTTGTTTCAAACTAAAACAGATATCTATTATCTTAGCAAATATCCACACACACCAGTATAACTGTCTGAAGATATCTGGGCCACATAGAGAAGCACATGGCCTCATCCTCACTTGCAGGAAAAACAAAAAACTTGCCATCTCCCTCCATTACCTCCACCACAAAATAAATGGAAAATTAATTATGTTAACTGCATCTCCAACAAAACATCCAGAATGTCATTTATTACAGAGTCCCACAATTTAGCACGGCAGTCGGGACACTTGCAATAAAAGAGAGAGAGAGAGAGAGAGAGAGAGAGAGAGAGAAACATGACAAATGCGAAAGGAACCATATGCAAATGAGTGAATCTTAATTAAGGCAGCCAAATTATTGAATGCATGAATAATCTATCTGGGTCTGACACAGCAGGGCCTCATGTTCCGCAACTCACCTGACGGCACAATCACACTCAACACTTGTTTCCTTGCTCACATAATTGATTTCACATTCATAAAACCATCCAATAAAGTAATTGTTGTTCTGTTGAGTTTGTTATTAACCTTTGTGCAGTGTGCATCCCACTTCTGCATCCTCTTTATGCACAACATGCCCCTTCATCTGCCCCCTTTTTTTCAACTTCCTGTTTGCCATACACATTCAGTGAAGACTCTTAAACTCTGTTCCAAAACCAAACAAGCTGCCTTCTGCCTACATAGGCATAATAACTGAGATGGAACCTGATAAGTCAGGCCTTTAAAGCACATCAGCAACACAAATTGTTTGAATTGACTTCTGTTAGCATGTTGCTTTGCTAACAGGGCACAACTCTTTAAAAATATACTTAATTATATTTTATACACTACGTTAAAACGTTTGGGGTCAATCAGATATTTTTTGAAAGACATTAACACTTTTAATCAGAAGGGATACAAATTGATCAAAAATTACAGTAATTACACTTCAATTACACAATTCAACTACACTTAACCCTTTCCCCGCCATTAACCGAATTTTCAGTGACAGTGTTTTCACTGTTATATGGTAGGAGGCCCTATTACACTAACTTTTGAAAGAGTAGAGAATCTCCCAATCAAAACAGACAAAAAAAGGAACAGAAACAAGTGATAAAGTAGAGGCTTTTTTCTTTCTTTTGATATATTGATATATGTTCAGATATTCATAGAACAAAATATTCTTGTATTGGGGGATTGGGGACACAAAATGTTTGTGAAAATGATCAAAAACACTGGTGGAGGCTAGCAACTTTCTAAAAAAACGAAAAAAAACGAAATTCTGGTGGGGAAAGGGTTAATATTAATCAAAGATTTGTGTGTGTGGGGGTGGGGGGGAAATCCCACAAAAATATTAAGCAAAAACAGGAAATGTTTCTTGAGTAGCAAATCTTAATGATTTCTGAAGGATCATGTGACTGGAGACACATAATGAAATTTATGGCATTTAATTCAACAACATTTCTACTTCCGATATAAAGTACAACCATCATAGGTCAATTTTTGAGCTTGTTGCAAAGCGTTCTTGAAATACGATCTGCAAAATGCAAACTGTACATGTGATGCCACCTTAGAATTTAGTTAAAATGAGGTGTCTTAAGAGGCAAAATAATAATTTACTTTTTGGCACAGCTTTCGAATCAATGATGCCTTAAAATGTCGCCTCTATAGGTAGCTCACTAGGTTTTGGAACAGAACACCGAGTATTTTTCCCTGTGCAAGGAGGACGTGTTGATCTAGCTTGCATCTCCAAGCAGTTTGAGTCTTTTTTCCCCAAAAGGAACTGCAGAGAAAATAACTCTCTCCCGCATGCCATATTTCGATCTCTCTGCCAGCGCAGTTTGACTGCCCGGAATTTAGCAGGGAGCGTGAACCGAGTAAACCTGATGTGATGTTAACCGCAATTTACAGATATACTCAACCTCTCCCATGACCCTTCAATTAAATTCAACATAAAGCTACACAACAGCTATCTTGTCTTTGAGAACTTGGCTGACAGTAGAAACCAACAAAGTGCTGTGTCACACTGATTGCAGTAATTACTGATGCAACGAAGAGAAATTCAAATAGTTTTTGGGTTAATTATGAAAGAGTTTAAAGTAGGCTATATTTTGAAAAAAGCTGTGGTGTTGTGTCAGTGCTTTAAAGATATATGCTCTGGGAGATCTTCAGAAAAAAACAATCAAGGTCTTCAAGTTCTAAGTCGATGTTGAACAGAAATGCCCAGAGCGATATGACGGGTGTTTCATTTGGATTGTGAGAGCCGAACCGGTTAGTGGGGAGCAGATGATGCAAAGCACCAGAACTTGTAACTGTGTAACTCCAATCTCAGCCACATCAGGGACAAACCCAGCAGAAAGGCAGCCCCATGGTGATACATGTTTGAGTCCATTGGCATCTAGAGTTAGAGACTGATATGTACGCCGGGAGTGTGCAGAAAGGTCTAGATGAACCCACTGTGGATTTGATCCACATTTATCTCAGTGTGACTAAAGGATGTAGCATCTGTTGAATTAAAGCAACCCCTTATGCTTTTTAGAATATATAACCTTTATGCAGTGTGTAATATAGCTATTTGTGAATGTAAAGATTGTAAAAGATCAAAGTGCACAACAAATACATTTATTGTCTCCTAAAAGAAAGAATTGATTCTGCACTGCTGCAATAAGTCATCAGCCATTCAACTCTCTCTTCCTGAGACATACATACAAAACAGCAGAGGTGGAAAGGAACGAATGACATTTACTCGCATTACTGTAATTGAGTAGTTGTTGTTTTTTTGTACTTATACATTTAAAGTAATTTTTCAAATTTTATTTGTAGTATTTTAATTCGCTACATTTTAAATCATATCCGTTACTGAGTAATAAAATAAAAAAATACTTAGGGTGAAAACATCGCGCTCCGGAAACTACAGCATTGATTGATTGAAGGGCGGGAGAACAGACGCGCTAAAATCACAAACAAATATGGAGAAGGTGACGGACAAGTATACTGAATGTACACTGAAAATGAAAGTGCTTTTCGACCTTGCATGCATGTAGGAGACAAAACAAAATAGGAACCTTTAAAATAGCATAATAGGGGAACTTTAACTGGAGATCATACATTAAATAACTGGGCCATGTCCACCGAAAAACTCTGGAGAGGCCAAATGCAGAGATATTTGGGAGAATATAAATTCATTTGGGTCAACATATGTGTATCTAACTGAAGATTTAAAAAATCCATGTTTCAAGATCGATGCATTTGCATCGGCAGGATTTTTAATTGATGAATCAATAAAAACGAGTGAATTGTTATGCAATTTAAAAGTTTACATGATAAAGATGATAAGTATAGTGGAAATGAATTTAAAGGCTTGGCTGGCAGATACATATCTCTCTCAAAACTGTGAGGACTGTGTATAGTGTTCATGTATGATTTTTGTTGTATAATATATATGTCATTAACTTGGACGTACACTTGGATGTCTAGCATGATCCTCTTGTCTTCTTCAACATGGATCCCCCAGATGCAGTCCTGACCCTTGTCATAGGCCTCAGGCCAGTTTGGAGATAACACCACCCCAGCTGAATCTGTGATCTCTCCACTGCAAACAGCTGCAATGCAACCAAAGAGAGAGAGAAAACACACACACACATAAGTACCCAAATCTTTATTTAATCTATTACATCTTATTCATTGCATAATCCAATAGATATCAGAATAATAAATAAAATGATGTTGTCAGTGTTATTTTAGTGTTATATAAAATGTAGAATTTAGGCAACATGCCTTTTCATCTTTCAACTTTAATGACTGAAAATGATTTCAATGCTAACAAGACTGATGTTATACAAAATCTCAATATATTCAAATGGTATGGAATTTTGTATCCCAAAATTTGAATCCAAGCTCTTGAACAGAACTCAAACTCTGGATTAATCCGACTAGGGTCTAAATGGAAAATTCGGGCCAGATTAACAAACGGCTCATTGCTTCCTGTTTTCATTTCCCCCCTATTCACATCACTACACTGGCTTAGCTGGATGTAAGCACAGTTTCAAATGGAAAAGCTGTTGTCTTGACCCTCTGCTAGAGCCAGTACGATTAAATCCTTTCAATCCAAACTCTATTGTCAGGCTCAAGAAATGTACTTGAGCAACGGGTCAGATAAGATAACCGTGTGTGTGTGTGTGTGTGCGGGTGTGGGTGGAATCAGGGCATTATGAGTGAGGCATTCTCTCACATTCTTCAGCTCTGTGCACCTGGTTCTAGCATCCATGGTTTAATGCTTTTACTGCTGCTTTAGGCGTGTGACTGTGGCTAAGAGTGTCTGAAACCCATCCAGGTGACACAGGATGTAGTGGATTACATAGAAAAGGCCCTAAATGGATGATGCTTGTACTGTACTATACATGCTGCCTGTAGAGCTCTTCAGCAGCTAACTAATGCAGATTATACACAGAAACACATAAATGTAAAGCCTACACTATACGGTCACGTGTGAACTTAGAGGAGAGGATCATTTGTGCCTGACAGCTTTATTTAAACGCTGTGTTGTTTTAGCACCAGATTCATGAAGCAAATTATCCAGGTAAACAGTTTAGGATAAATGGCTAGTTATAATGCCCTTTACATTGATTAGATCAGATTTTGATGAATAATACATTAAATAAATAAATATTCAAATAATAATTAAAATAATAATGAGGAAGATAATCTATCAATCTCTGCATTGGCCAGTTAATAATAATAACTGGTATTAATAATATTATCAGGTTAAATTTGAACTTATATTAAAATCAAAATCCAATCAACAACTGATACATAAAACAAAGTCCCCATCCTATATCATTTTTTATTTTCCGTTTTATAATCCGTTACACTTGGATGTACGTCGCAAAGTGGATAAAAAGATCTGTCGCTACTTCAATTTCATCACGAATTAAATAAAGTGTGCTATATGCTATGACATTTAACGCCTGAATGAACAAGTTTGGAGCTGATTTGTGAATAAAATGCACATTTTTATTGAATAGTGAATTTAACACACAGTATATATATATAGGGATGTGCATCGTTGAGAACTGAATTTGAATTGAGGTAAAAAACAGGAAGCAGAATTGCAATTTGAATGAAGTAGAATTAAAAACTGAAAGACAAGAGTGTTAGCTTGACAAAGCTAAAAAAAAAAAGTTTTAAAAGCTTTAAAAGCATTGATCCTAACGGACAGATTCAAATTCACTGAAAAGGAGCTAATTCTTCACTTCTGAATTTGGCCCAACCCATATGCAAACGTTCCGACACAAACCTCTGCAGGCGGGTTCAGTCTCATTCCATTGAGGGTTGCTGGGATCCATGCACTCGATGATGACGGAGCCCTGCTCCAGGGTGTAGCCGGAGTCGCAGGTGAACTCCACAACCGTGCCCACAGCGTAGGTGCTGTCAGTGCTGGTGAAGTTGCCGTACTTGACAAATGGCTCGTAGCAGTGCCCTGCTGCGAAAGCTGAGAGGACACACCATAAATCACCTGCTCCGAGACGCACATCACAGTCCAAACACTATCACCAAGCATCTGATTTCAGAAGACCTTAAACCACACAGACAACCAGTCCGCTCAGCTCAGCCTTTCACATCATAATTTCGTTGGAAAGGCAGAGGACAGCGCGGAATCTGAATTGAAAAGCATTTTTAGAAGGCAGTCTAAAATAATTTGTCTGTTGAATGTGGCAAAGCAATGTGCAGCGTTTTACATTCCCACCAATCAAAATCCTCCTGGATGCAAACTCAAGGTTGCAGGGTTGCCCTTGGAAGGATATTGTTAGTTAATCAGCCTTAGCCAGACTTGCAAGGCCATTTACGGGCGTAAAAGAAAGAGAGACGGCCCGACAACGTGAATAAATGCGCAACGTGAATGAACAAACTCACTCAGGGAAACAACAAACTGACATGCCTGGCTGAACCGTTATTGGTTGTTGTGCTCGCCTGAGAATGTAGAATAGAGATTAGAGCGAGAGGAGGAGACTTAAGATGAGGATGTTCAGACTATGGGTAAACACTGGCTTTGATATCCCTCCGGGTCCGGCCTCGTTCAAGCGTGCGCTAGATTAGACTATCCACATTCAGCCTCGCTCTCTGTTTAATAAACACAGGCTATTCTGCCAATTACAGCAAACTGTGCCCCTCCCCCTCCCCCCTAATCCCCTTTACCCAGACACATTTGCATTATTCATCTTTGCATTCATCTGGCTCCGTTGTCTAAAAGAAGTAAAAATGAGTCATTTTTAATCATCAGTTGAATCTTGCTCTCTTGTATCCACAGAAACAATCATTACATAAGATGGCATCAACATAAAAGTCAGATTTATATGGAAATGAGCTTTGCACATAATTTAATGTGCAATGCACATTTTGTGTTATTGCCATGAGTTAGTGTCCCCATTGGAAAGAAAAATCATAAATAAAATCTCTTTAATGTCTCAGTTATTTCTCATCAGTTAAATACTATTTTGCTTCAGTTTTATATATTTACAGTATATATTTCGATATGAAGTTATGAAATTGTATAATAACTTGACCAATTTTTCTTCACTTTTTTTTTATTTGATATATTTCTTACTTTGATTTATGAATCAATTAGCAAAAAATATTTGCAATAAGACGAATAATAGTTTAAGTTTTAGTCCCATTTTCGACTTTAAATAAATGTTGACAAAATGTGATTGTTAAAACTTTTAAAACTTATATGTTTTGATTATAAAACTTACAAATGTTATATATAAACTTTACATGACTGATCATTTCGCTAGATGAGACCCTTATTCATCGTCTGGTGTCGTTTAAAGCCCCTTGAAGCTGCAATGAAACTGTCTTTTGGACCTTGAACCGTTTGGTACCCAATGAAGTCCATTATATGGAGAAAAATCCTGAAATGTTTTCATCAAAAACCTTAATTTCTTTTCGACTCAAGAAAGAAAGACATGGACATCTTGGATGACATGGGGGTGAGTAAATTATCAGCAAAAGTTTTTTTTTTAAAAGTGAACTACTCCTTTAACTATAAAAAGTTTCTCTGGGCCATGCTGACGGTCATACGCAACAAGGTCAAAAAATAAAGAAATTTACCTCTGAAAAGTATGACAATAGCTCTATTTCACCAAATATTCCATTAAAATACAATTATTGGATAGATTTACATGATTCTGGTTTAAATGGCCTTCAGAGAACTGAACGAATATTCAATGTGTGGCTTCTCGAAACACAAAGAGTTCCGAATCATTTATTTTGCTAGTCTATTGAAATTGATAAAAAAAAAAAAAAAAAAACAGATCCATTTTGATTTTAAGCACTTCAATCAGAAAGACTATTAAAGGCTGAGCACTCTAACTGGTGTGAAATTCAGAGAGGTGTCAGAAGTGTGAGAAGACAAGCCAAATTGTTACAGGTTGCCGTGAAGGCGCATTAGTACATTGTAGATAGCATAATCGGATTGTGGTATGGTAAATGAGATTAGATTGACCTCGCCAGATAATGACTGAGAGGTCCTGAGGTGTGCATGACATCCCTGTGAACAAATGCAACTGCGCACATTCGACTGACCTGTCAGAGGGAATAGGAATGTAATTTCTGCAATTTCTGTTTCCAGTTAAAACTCATTTTAATGACCTTGCCGAGTTGCATTTGATTCGATTTCCATTTGATCTAATTTGAATAAATCTCATTTGAGCCATGAATCTAAGGAGTGTTTAGCAAGGCACGTAAGAGAAAAGATCTTTGGTGTGAATCGAAGCAACAAGGGGAATGTGCCGGAAGGTACACTCTTTGTCTCCACCACAGCCCTGAGGCTCTGTAAAGGACATGTGTTCTTCAAACAGCGTTTGAACTCGGTAACCCCCACCGTGTACGTCCCGGTTCAGAGACAAAGCAGCGGAGATGTTGGCAGCTATCAAGTCCTCATTATTACGATGTCCTGTGACCAATGCTGCACAGTGACTAACTGATAATGAATGAGACATTAGTGAACCGAATCATTATCTACATTTACACCCAAATAATACCCTTATAATCGAATTAATGGCAGTCAATCGGATAAAAAAGTTTCCTCATCGAAGAAAACAACAATTGATCCACACTTGAATCCAACTTGTTTCAAAAAACCTTGAGCACTTACAATGGGTCATCATGTTTACATACATTCAATGACTTATCATCGTGCGTATGTTTATGTCTGACTTAATATTTACTCAATATTTGCTAAAAAAGCTCTTCTAACATATATGTCAGCTTTCTTTTTAGAATTGCACTCCAGTAAAAATAGCTCCAGTGACATTTTCCCAAAGGTTTTCTCGGTTCTGAACGTGGCAACTGGGTACTGCATATGAAATGTAAACATTTTTAGTTCATGTAAACAGAACTTTCAGAATGTGAAATTAGACTGTATTCATTCCGACTGAGAAATTAGTGAACGTAAACATTCCTACTGGTTCACTCGTGAACTGACCTGAACTACGATTCTCAAAAGTTGATCGTAGGCAATGATGGCAATGGTTCTACGATCTACTTAAACTTACAATGAACTGTCTAGTTAGTCCGTACCTTCATATCTGATGGCCACCCCCGTGTTGGTCCCGAAACCATCCGTCGTGAACTCCACAAAGAGATGTCTGTTGGAAGAAACGATTCCCTCGTTCGGAAGGTATTCCACCTCATACGAGTCATACAGAATGGGCGAGTCGATGTGGTTGCCATTTTTGATCAGAAACCTGCAGACGTAAACAGAACAGAATGGTTTAGTTGGGTTCAAAACAGTGAATCTCTCTACAGTATCTGTTTGGCAGCAGATGTAACGTTCCTCTGATTTCTAGCACTGTCTTTTGGCAGTTTTCATAGTAATTGCCTGATATGATTTTGAATAGCTGAGCAGCAAGTGACCTCATTAAAAGTCCATTTGTTAGCAAAGCCTGCAGAAAAAGCGGAAACTGCTAATAAAAATAACTTAATCCCCCTCCTGAGGCCCTGGAGTGGGCTGTAATCGTTCTCTCCGCGTCTGCACGAGGGGATTTGATTATTCTAAATTATTTTAAAGGAGAGCAAGTGTCTGATCTCAGAAACTTTCATCCACTTTCACTCGCGCACTCACAGCTGTTCCTATCATCCCTCGCTCTCGCCGTAGCAGATAATGCCCTGAAGAGCAGCGCCACATTTGGAGTGTGACGGCACTGTGAAGAGACACTCTGAGCTTCTCCAACTGTCTCTTTGAACATCAGTTGACTAATTAGTGTATAATAGCGGAGTACGATTGAGTTGACTGGGACGAACCTGTCATCATCTTCGGCGAGGGCCACCTTCTCGAAGTGCACGTGCAGTCTTTGACCCTCAGGGGCCTCCAGCACCCAGTGACAGGTCAGGTTGTTGCTGTAATTACCAGGGAAACCAGGCGATACAATGCGGCCGAGAGTCGCGTTCTTCACCATTCCACCACAGGCCACTGTTCAAAGTACAAATGGAAGGAGACAGATGCCATTGAGATGAAAATAAGAGTGCTAGAGTTCAAGGAAAGCTCTCAAGGAAAGCTCTATAAAACACAATAATGTACATGTCACAAGTCACATGACAATTTCAACATGGCAGATGTAGTACAGTGGTATTTATTGATACAACATACATTCATTCTGTAGCCTATAGAATATATATTTGTAACAGTCGCAATCAGACATTATGTGATTTCAGATACATCAGGTGCTTAAGATTATAAAATACTTTTTAAAATGTAGTTTAAAACACGTGTGCCGAGAATTAAAAATGTCCTTGTTGTATTCATGCTGGTTTCATATACTGTATATTTTTGAAAGACTTTTATACCATTTTCAACAAATTTTTAATTTTTTAATGAAATCATTTTATAGTATTTTTTACGATTATAATATAAATATAGTAAATAATTAATATATTTTTTACACATTGAAGTAATCTTGCCATCACATTTTCAATGTGTTTAGTTCTGTTTTGTGATCTTGTTTCCCCCTTTTGTGATTTTGGTTCAGTCCTGTTAGTTTCCCCTGTCTGTCTAATTAGTTATTCCCATCACTTGTGTTCAGTTAATTATCCCATTAGTCCCAGTTCTTTTAAGACCTGTGTTTTCCCTCAGGCCACGTTTACACAAAGCCGGTTATTTAGAGAAATGAATATTTCCCCCACTCCGTTTTCAATAACATTGTTCACACACCCGCATAAATACGCCGTCGAGCGCCATCATATCTATGCCAAACCTATGGGTGGCAGTGTAGGGAGAAGGATAAAGCCATGCAAACCAATCAGAATCCTCAGAATCGACAAGAGAGAACCTAAAACGCTGTTTCTCACAGTTGACACGACAAAACATAACCAGCGTTTTCAGAAATCTCCACTTTGGCTGGAGTTTTCAGAAATAATCGTTTTCTGTGATACAAACTGGGTTTTCGTGTAAATGAGCGGTCATACCGAAGGGAAATATCTATGTTTTCCATTCATGTAACCGGGGCCTCTGTGTTTGTTGGTCGTCGTCCTTGCATGGTTATGTGTCCTGAATTCCTGGAGTTTTCATTTGTTCTTGTCAGTTAGGTTTGTAAATAAATCAACTATACTGCAGTTCCCGTGTCTTCGTCTTCAGCTACCTACACAAACCTGACACTTGTCTTGTCATAAAAAGCTATCTTAACTTGATCCTCTCTATGATATCATTTCTTGTTTTATATTTTTTTTTTTCAGCAATTTGGTCACACCACAAGAATTTGGGGGAAAAACTGGAATAATAATAATAATACGGGAATCAGTTTTATAAACCAATAGTAAACAGTTTTTGTTAAAAGCAACAAAAAAAGACTGAGAGCTTGTCGACGGAGGAGGATTCCTTCAGAGCTTGACGCCTGAAGGTTAGTCAGGCGGACAGAACGTAATTAAAGTGGACCCAAAGCCGTGCTCCCTGGCAGCCGGCCCATGCTGATCAGTAATCAGACTCTGACAGTCTGGCCCGGCTCCGCATCAGCTTGTTTCTAAAACTGCACGTTTATGCTATTTCACTCCAAAATAATGGAGAAAAGTGAGAAACTCCAGATCCTGTAGGCCACGTCTGGCAGCCGCAGGCTAACTAAACAACCCCACGACTTGTGCCACCGAAGCACTAAATGAGATCCTTCATCAAAACAGCCGTCCTTCAGGGAACCCGGTCTTGTTTGCAATCGAAGATGTTGTTCTGCTTGTCATGCAAGAGGGAAGAGTTCTCCAGCTCTGGGATTCGGCTCCACAAAGAGATTGAGGCACAAAAAGTCCTTATTTATGCAGAGAAGGCAGACCTGTCAATCTCGCTGCCACACCGGGCTGCCTTCAGGGGGTACGGTTGTTAATATTCACTGCCTTGTAGCACAAACAATTCTGTTACAACCATTCCAGCCAAAATCAATGATCAAACCCCAATTAACTTAAAAGGAGGAGGGAGCAACCGCACCGGGAGTTTCTCCCCTGTCAAGTTAAATCACACCTGTGTGGACTAAATATTTACACAGGCGTGAGGTTTGTTTGCGCCTGAATGACAAAATGACTTGTGGGTGTATGTTTATGGTGAAATGAAGAAAAGAAAAAGAAGGATAATTGCTAGTGAGCGAGTCCAGGGCAGCGTCACGAAGCAAATCAGCAAGTGTGAGGAGGCTGTGTTTATCATTGTCAGGTAAAACCACTTGCATCTATATAAAAATGAAAGAAGGTTCATTAAAAGCAGAAGTTACAACTTCATAGATTTTCCTGAACTAGTGCTGCTTACTAGTGCTACTGCTTCATAATTGAATTTCTCAAGGGTAGAGATCAAATACTGCAGATTTGGTAATTAACTGTCATTTAGCCGATCCTTTTGTTGCAACACACTCAATACAGGTACAATCCCTCTGGAGTAACCTGCAATTAAGAGTCTATCTGGTGAAAGGGCACATGTGACATGCTAGGTAGTTTCTACTTCAAGTTTACAGCCACCTGGAAGCAACCTGCATCTACTGTATCAGCAGCTTAGATCCATAATAACCCTTTAAAGGGATCACTTAGATCTAATACAAGTATTGTTCAATGGACCAGATTTGGGGCATAATGTCAATTAGCACAGAATTGTTTTGATTAGACCAGCGTATCGCCATCTTGCTAAGAATAAGGAACTTAATGGAGTTAAATGATGCCATCATTGTTTAGAAAGTATAAAAATAGAAATGTGAGGCACATTTTTTGTCGAAGCACTTGAATTATTGTGTAAATTGTAATTTTTCAGTGGAACCAATGTAATCCCAATGTAATCCCAGTGGTTGTCAGGTAAAAACATAAAAAATGTGTGTTCACTCTTGGCATGTTTGGTCCAATTAAAATGAACCCTGGTGCAAATACTCTGTTAGTGTGGTTTATTTGAATAAGCTGAACGGTGCCATCTGAACCCAGGTGCGCACCAAACAAGCGGACCACTGAAAAGATCATCACAATGTTTTCCATCACAGTTCGGTACAGACATCAGAACCGTGTCTCATCGCAGCAGATCTTCATTTGTGTGCATGACAAAGGGATTCCTGGTGCTGTTTCGACTCCTTTACACATTTTATAAGCACTTCACGAGTTCTCAGCTGGTCAAAATACCATCATTTGTAGGCTACGCACATACAACAAGTGCATTTAGCCCAGCACACAAAATTGTTTTGGATGTTTGTTAAGTTCAGCCATGAAAAATACATAATAAAAGCCGACCAATCAGGTTGTGAACATATCTTTAGGTTTGGTGTTAAAATGCCAATGTGAATGCCAATTGTTTTTTTTTTTTTTTTTTTATGGGGGGGTCTGGACCAAACAAAGTGAACTACAAGTGTGAACATCCCCTAAATTCATCATTAAGTTTGGGACTCACCAAGGCACCGTGGCACTCTGCCACTCCAGTAGGGTGTGGTGGCGTTGCGGCACGTCAGTGTGGAGGGACCCTGGAGTTGATATCCATTGAAGCAGTAGAAATAGGCCTCTCCCTCCGCATGGAGGCTTGTGACGGACACATCTCCGTATGCTGGTCTATCAGGGAAGTTGCAACTCAAGACAAATGCTGTAATGGAGAGCAAAAGAATAAATGATTAGGCACATGATTAAAACTGTAGCACGTCAGACCATGCTTATTTAAACAAACGTCTGAAGCAGCTCTAAAACTATTATTAGACTGAGACTAAGGTCTGTGGGGAGTTTGAATATTGCATTACGGCGACTCCCACTTATTTCAAGAAGACTTATTATCTTAACAAACTCCATCTGTCTTTCTTTCTCTCAGTTTAATATGGTCTCCGAGGGTCTGTCCCCAATGCATGTCCTCTCTCCATGTTCTCCAGACCGCAGTCGACCTTTTCTGTGTGAAAGGGACATCTTGAAGATGACAAATAAACCCAAACCCCGAACACTGTCCGTTTCCCCAGCCAGAATGGGCCTGCTGGGATGCGTGGAGACAATCATTAGCTGCCTAAGATGATAGATTAGTCTCACATTTGGCCTAATAGTCGCAATAGAGCAAAACCCTCTCTACCGCTGAGACTAGTGCAGATTCTTAATCATTTTTAACTGGACACTCTTTCCATTTTGATTTTTTACACAGTCTTGCAAAACTCTGGTCCACATAGAAGCTTAATCTGGCCCACTTAGACAGACCATGTGAATGTCTGATGACATATGGTATACAATGACCAATGACAATTCAATGAGGTTTTTATTTTGTTTCTATGTGCCATTTAGAAGCAGTAATCTTAGGGACTGGTCTGGTTTAAATGAAACTTCATTAAAAATTCTTACATAAGCTTTGGTTTTCTGGATAGGGCTGTAAAATGAGTCTTTATTGACCCTTGTTATCATGATCCAGAGATGGTCACAAGTCATTTTTTGGAAGTCCAAGTCAAGCCTCAAGTCTTCGAGGGGAAAGTTTGAATCAAGTCTGAAGTCTTTTGCCACGAGTCCAAGTCAAGTCTCAACTCTCTCTTGCCATCTGATCTGTCCACCTGCTGAGAGACACGGATTTGGAAACGTGCCGAGAGACTGAAAATCGTGTCCGTGTACACGAATCAACAGATTTACTGCCGTACCCACTGCCGTAAGTGTGTTGCGACAACGTATAGTCTAATCTTCTGCTACTTAACACATCCCTCTAGCCCTCGGGCCTGGTTAAATATTAACCTAAGTCTGTCACATCACATGGATACAACACTTTGTGATGGTTAGCTTGTTACTGTACAAGTGACTATGCTCAATTTAACGTCTCTTTTACATTAGCAAGTGACTGTCATATTTGGGTGCATTTTAAGGTGCCTGATGAAGTTCGCTGTTGTGGATCCAGCATCATTTCTAAACCAAATTAAGCCAAATCATTAAAACCAAAACTAATGACAAAAGGCACAACTCCCGGAGGACTTGTTATCGCCATTTTTGATATGTGAGTGCGCGCAAAGTATGGCAAAGGCACAGTATGGCAAAGGGCAGGGGACATGGCATGCAGCTCATCATACGCTTCCCCAATGTATATATGTGCCAAAACAAGAAATTAGAAATACATTAAAGATTTTAGATTTAAAAAGCAATAATCACATGAAAACAGGTTGTTGACGAGTCTCGAAGCTCGAGTCTGAAGTCTTTTGGGTCTGAGACTCGAGTCTCCATCTCTGTCATGATCCCAGCCTGCCCTGTGTCCCCTTTTTCCTGTATGTTGTTTCATGTTTTTTAGTTCTTTTACTGAATGTATCCCCCCGTTAATTAGTCTTGATTGTGCCCAGGAGTGTCTTGCTGTATTGTTAACCCTTGTGTATTTGAAATGCACAAAATCGTCAATATGCCATTAAATAGGGCACTATTTGGGGGGGACAGCCGTTTGAGGGTATAGGGTATAGGGGTGATTTTGAACACAGGACTTGTTCTCTTTCACACCAAGCCCTCAGGCAGGATTCAAGTGCAGAGGATATACACAACTGAGTGTTGACAAACAAAAATTTACCAAAATAAATCAAACACCAGAACATCAAGAAAACTAGGGAGTAAGACACTGAGACCAAAAATGTAACATCAACCAAAGGAAAAAACCAGGCAACAACCACAGGAACACAAGTGCTTACTGTATATACACAGGGTAATAGACTAACCGGACAAACCAGGGACCTAATCAAACAAGAAAACTTTTCTTTCACCCTTTCAACAGGTCTGGAGAAGGTCTTGGACCAAAGTACTGCTATTTAGAAAACATTTGCAAGCAACAACAGTGCAATTTCTTTTCATTTTACCTTCTACCTAAATCAACAAGCCCTGATGATGTGAATACTAAAGACATAAAAGACAGAGGTTTTTCTTTGAAATGAAAGGGGTCAAAATTCAAGGCTAGAGAGAATTCAATTGAATTCAATGTACAAAACTGTGTCTGCATATGAAGGATGCTTTGAGAAGCAAGTGAGTGACCATCTTCTCCTTCATCACAAAAGTTCGCACTGCCTCCACAGTAGGCCCTGCGAGGCGGTAAATCCAGGTTAGACCGCAAGTGCCAGTCGAGCTAAGAACTGCTTTCCCGACACCAATTTGTTCGTCTCCTCCCCCAATCCTCCACTGAGAATGTTTTTGCAATTTATGACAGAAATTTCAGGGCTCATTTCTCCCTGTCTCGATGTGGCTGCGGCAGCCGTATTGTTAGGTGTTGAAATTCAGAGCGGAGTGTGGGTGTTGTTTTTGTCACCAATGACAAGACTGAGCCTGAGGCCAAAACATTTGCACAGGGGCGATAAATTAGAACCTTTAACCTTTAACCATTTTCATGGCACAATTGTGAGAATAGTGAGAAGTTGCAGAGGATGGATTCAGCAGGCCACCGAGATCTGGCATATTTTACCTGTTAAATAAAAGCACAATATACTAAGCTTAATTTATATTCAAATAGTTTTTTGGTCTTTTGCAAAGAAATGAATGTTTATTTAATTGAAATAGTTATGGAATGTGGGAGGTTAGTCATAAACACAGTAAAGTGAATTCAAGCCAAAGTCTTTAGAGATAACTTGACAGCTAACAGCAAGCACAAGGTCTTCAATTACACCAAAGCCCTGTAAATAACAGGTAAAAATGTCAAGTTGTATTACACATGATCGAGATGCTATCCTATCCCAAAAGAAATGTTATCTCACATTAGAGGCAATAGAAGCTTCTACGAACCAGTCTTCTCTAAAATATTACAGCAATTTTTCAGGTGTCAGGCATTAATTAAACCGTTCTGTACAATGCCCTGTAGTATTGCTTTCATAGCTCAGATTATCCGTATCTGATCCAGAACCAACAGCAAAAGTGAATCACCGCCGTGTTTCAAGCGAGAATCACTCTCTCGCTGGTCTCTGATCCTGTGGTGGTGTTTAGAGAGGTAGAGGGCCCTGTCAAACAGAATTAATGTTTTTGTTTAAGTTTTTTTCCCCTCTGCTGGCTCAGGTTGGATTCTGTGTCCAAGAAAGCCCCAGTTTGATAAATCACTGCAATTCTTTTCCCTTACTGAACAGAGAGGAGCTGCGTAATGGGGTGGTGCACCTCAGCAACAATACATGAGCCAGTAAGCGAGTGTTATACAGAACTGACATCCACAACCCTGAAGAGCATTTTTTTTTGTGCCCCACAAAAATGTTGAGATTCTGCGGTACTTGCATAAAAAATCTGAAAGCTATAGTTCACTCTGTAAACTGTCGCAGGTGAGCACTAGCAGTCTACACAGCTTCGTTGACTATAATGGCTTTTAGTTTTGATTGATCTTGATCACCACATGTTTAAGGTGTAACCCCTCATGACCGAACGTTGTTAACATTTGCCCAGAAATTTGGGGAAATAAATAGAGAATTCAACAGATGTGTGGTTATATAAAAGATAGCAGTAACAATAAATCATGCAAGTGTTAATCTAAACAACACAAACTAACAGATTAATCGCTTCTCCCGAGTTTGTAGAATGGTCAGGAAGTTTAAATGCCATTTTAAATATATTGAATTATATACAACTTATATAAATACAAACATATATAGGGTAGAGTCAAACGCTTCTCTAAAGGACTGTGTACTTTTTTCTGTGAAAAAAAAGTGAAATGTGTCTAGAATAGTTATCCTAGATTTCAGTGACAATGACATATAATTATAAACTCAATATGAAAAATGTCCAGAGATTTCATGTCAAGTTTTGCCCCATTCTAACAAAGCAATTTGCTTTATACCTTTACACCAATATCAGTACAAGCAGTTTTAGCTTCAAATTAAAAAGACAAGCTAAAACAACAGTAAATAAATATGAATATTTTTTAATGAACCATGCAGAGAATCAACCTAGCTGATGCTAACTGGCTAGCTAACTAGATAGCTTGTGCTAACTTGAGGTAATTTTTCAAATTAAAGTCAACATATTTTTATTCAACCACAGTTAAATTTCATTTGATAGAAAAACAAAGGATGTGATGTTTAGAACATGGTAACTAAAGTAATTGTGATTGGCCATTTTACCCTAAGCTTCACGGTGAGGTGACTTTATCAAGAGGTTATTTTGGTAAAAACATTTAATTCTAATATAATAAACATTTTAATTCAGCAGTGTAGTCTTATTCATGAACAAAATACTTATTTAAACTAGTTATTTTTAAAGAATTGAAAAATAGTAGTCAAATTCAAATTGAAAATCAAAAACAAAGTGCAACCAGTACCCGATAGTCCAATTCATGAACAAATGACTGTTTAAAAATGTACAAATGCAGTACAGTTTCATCACAACCAACCAAGTTAGAAGGTTTTTGTATAATTTACAGCACTAGCTGAGAGAAAATGTATTTGATATGCAAGAAAAATGCACGTCATAATCTTAATGAATCAGAACTAAATAAGCTTTGCTTTCTAGCTTGTGATGTTTCAAAAGTTGAGCTGTAGAGCAGGCAATTTAAAAACACCCTAATTCCAGCCCAGTGCTTAGTGTATATTTTAGTATTTGATGAGGCAGTTTTGCATCCTCTCTCTCTCTCTTATAGCCTTGAAACAGAGTATCTGAACTCACAGTAATTATGCCCTGCACATGACTTCC